TAGATAGATAGATAGATAGATAGATAGATAGATAGATAGATAGATAGATAGATAGATAGATAGATAGATAGATAGATAGATAGATATTGTAGGATAAATATTATTTATTTATCAGCACAAATGCAACACAAATGTAACAAAAAAGGCAACATTAAAAATAATGGCTTTCTGTCTGGATGGTCTCTTGGGATGAGAGAAAGGAAGCAGTATGATTCCTCCCATATTTGGGCATACCAGGGGTTGTGACACAATAAATACCTATTTCCCTGGCCTAGCTAATAAAGGAGGAGAGCCTGTGGCTTAGTGGCTAACACATCTGCCTAATATGTATTACAGCCGAGGTTCAAATCCCCATAAGGGTATGGCTAGCTGATGAGAGCTAAATAGCTTGAAATAGTTCTATACAATTGTTTTCTGAATTCATTTTGTGTGATGCTGGCAATCATATTTCATTATAAAATAAGCCTTCTGTCTTCTTACTTAGTTATGCTAAAGTTGTATTAACAGGGTTAGAGACCACTTCTGATATTTATCAGTTCAATTTTGAACCACAGTTTTCTGTAGGCACCTTCTTTCTCAATACAGAGAACCTGATGGTCCAAATAGCTTATGGAAATGAAGCAGTTTACTTAGCTTGATAAACCAAGAGCATCAAAGTATATCTTCTTTCAGATGGAGAAATATAGAATAACAGAATTGGAAGGGACCTCAGAGGTCTTCTAGTCCAACCCTGTTTGAGCAGGAGACCCGGCATCAGATAAATGGTTATCCAGTCTCTTTTTTGAAAACCTTCAGTGATGGAGCAGCCACAACATCTGAAGGCAAGTCATTCCATTGGTTAATTGCTCTCACTGTTAGAAAATTTCTCCTTAGTTCTAAGTTGCTTCTCTCCTTGGTTATTTTTGATCCATTGTTTCTTATCTTGCCTTTTGGTGCTTTGGAAAATAGTTTGACCCCTCATCTTTGTAGAAACCCCTCAAATATTGGAACAGTGGTATCATGTTCCCCTAGTCCTTCTTTTCATTAGACTAGATATAGCCAATTCTGTAACTATTCTTCATACGTTTTAGTCTCTAGTTCCCTAATCATTTTTGCTGCTCTTCCTCCAAATAAATATATATATAGTATATATCAAGTGTGTGTATGTATATATATATATATATATATATANCTGCATTTAACCACTGCGCCACCTCGGCTCTTGTGAAGCATTAGTACTGCTTTCTAAAGCTTTGCTATGATCACATCTGGAATATTTGCACCCAGTTTTGGTCACCACGTTACAGGAAAGATGTCGAGACTTTGGGAAAGACTATGCAAAGAAGGGCAGATGAGCTAAGCATGAAATCCTATTTTCTTCCTTCCTTCCTTTCCTTCTGTCCTTTCTTTCCTTCCAGTTCGGTAGCGAAGAAAACATCTGGGCGTGGCCAGGAACTTCTGAGCATGTGTGATGAAGTCAGCTTGGCTGCCATTTCAGAAGTGGTATTCTGCTGGTTCGCACCGGTGCGAACCAGCAGAATACCACTTCTGAAATGAGCTGATTAAAGGCCTGGAGACTAAAACATATGAAGAAAGGTTGCAGGATTTGAGTTTGGCCAGTCTAGAGAAAAGAAGGATTATAGCAATCTGTTGTGGCCCAGCAGGAGCCGTTGGAGCTGCCACCAGACAGCGAGGGGCCCTATGAGTCGGTCCTGGAGGATGTGGAGGACCCTGGACAGGGTTCCGACTCCGAGGAGGGTGTAGGGAGACTGGTTGGCCACCAGGTGGCACCTGAGCCTTGGATCAGTGGTGAGGAGACAAGAGAGAGTGATCCAGAAACCAGCAGGGAGTTGTTCCTGGATGCACGCCATCGAAGAGCTACTCGGCGCCAAAAACAATTACGCAATTACAGGAGGTAATTGCACTCAGCTGGTGGTCATTAGGCTCCTCTCCAGACTATAAAAAAGACTGCTTGTGACACACCTCTCTTGCAGAAGTCGACACATTGACTAAAGAGAAAGTAACTAACTTGGCAGGCTGGATTGCTGCCAAAGTTTGTCTGAATTGCTGCCAAGGTCCTTATCTGTTCGTTTGCTTGGCTTTCAACTACTGAAATTCTAGTCTTGTTATTAAAGGACATTCTAGTTAAGCTTGTCTCGGCTTTCGTTACTAGACGGAGGAGGGTGGTCAGAATAGCAATCTATAGTACTGGAGGGGCTACTGCCCCAAAGAAGAGGTGGGGTCAATTTACTTTCCAAAGCACCTGAAGGCAGGAGATGAAACAATGGGTGGAAACTAATCAAGGAGAGAAGCAACCTAGAATGGAGGAGAAACTTCCTAACAGTGAGGACAATTCACCAGTGGAACTGCTTGCCACCAGGAGTTGTGGGAGTTTCATCACAGGAGGTGTTTAAGAATAGACTGGACAGCCACTTGTCTGAAATTATATAGGGTCTCTGCTGGAGACCTCCGATGTCCCTTCTAGCTCTATTCTGATTGAACCTTATCTGCCGTTGCCCCCACCCTGTGGAACCTGTACTTAACCAGCTGAATTTCAATTCGGGGCTGCCCTGTGAAATCAGAGGTATTCCAACATAGGAAGTCCTCGACTTATGACCACAATTGAGTCCTTAACTTCCTTTGCAAAGCAAGACAGTTGTTGCCCCATTTTACGACCTCTCTTGCCACCGTTGTTATAAGTGAATCACTGCTGTTGTTAAATAAGTAACATAGTTGTTGAATTAATCTGGCTTCTTCCTTGAATTGGTTCGTCAGAACGTCACAAAAGGGGAAATCACCGAACCCCGGGACACGGCGACCGACGTAAATAAAAGTCAGTTGCCAATTTTGATGACGAGTGTGAATTTTGTCCCGTTTTTCACTGCCGTTGTAACTTTGAACTGTATAAACCAATTGTTATAATGGACGAAGGAAATGATATTGAATTACTCTTTTATAAAATGTTGAAAGGTTATTTTTGTATGATTTTACAATGTTAAATGTATACGCCATTATATTCATGCCTAAAATGTATAATGTTACTGTGCTTTTGCTAACCACAAAATGTGTTCAGTTAACAGGACAAAATAACCTTTGTTATTCCAAGCCGTTTGCCTACGTACAAGTTAGATAGGAAGCCTTCTGCTCAGACGAAAGGCACGAGGGGGAAAAAAAAAACCAAATAAGAGATAAGGGCCTCTCAAGAAGTTGTCAAGTTGACCCTTTACAGTATGGGGTGACGAAAAAAANCCGGATTTCTGGGGGTAGTACGTTCCAAAGGGGCAGCCACAGAGAAGGCTCTCCTCCAGGGAGCCGCCAGCCGACATAGGGAAGTATACACAGCAGTGGTGGGTTGCAGGCGGTGCGCCCCAGTACGGGCATACCGGAGCCTGTCCAGAGCACCGGATACTGTTCCGTTACGGTGCTGCTACATCTTTAAGTTCTTTGGCGCTTCCGCACATGTGCACAGCGCATACAGTGCCTGTGCAATGCTCTGCCAAGCAGCTGGAACATCACGGAGGCTCGCGAAGGCGTCGCTGGACAGTAAGATGCATGTGCACTCCCGCTACGCACATTCATGTGCAGGACGCTGGAGCCCATGGCAACCATACTGGTTGCAACGGGATCTGGAACCCACCACTGATACACAGGTAGTCCTCAACAACCACTTCATCCATGTGAGGACCGTTCAAAATTACAATAGATTTTAAAAACGTTACTTACAATCTATCCTTGAAGTTAGGTTTGTCATGCTTGAAAACTGGCTCATATTTACAATCGGTTGCAGTGTCCTGTGTTAATGTGATCACAATTTGCAACAATTATCCTAGGTTTTTTTTTGGCAAAAGACACCAGTTGGAGAATGGAGATTCCCTTAAGCACCACGTGGTTTGTTTAACAACCACATAATTCTCTTCAGAACCGTGGTGACTGCCTTAAGATTGTCATTAAAAGCAGTTGTGAAATCAAGTCAGGGCCCACGGTGACCCACTCAATGACTGCAATGCCTTATGGCCAAAAATTCAGACCTCAGTTGTGGTTGTTAAGTGAGGACTACCTGTAAATATTCCTTTTCCATTTTCCATCTCTAATGAAATGATAAAATATAGAGACCCATTAAAAAAACAACTGTTAGGCATTAGTTCATCTTTAAAGACTGTCTCAGATATATTCCAACTTACAGTTGTTTCTGTGATATCAGTCTCTGCGGGAACGCCAGGCCCAAATTCCTCATTAGTAGGACTGGTTGGTTTCTCTTCATATTCTTTATATTCATAAAAATCATATTCGCCTAAATCTCCATCTACCACAACTTCAGCTTCGCTGTGGTCTACTCCTCTGTTTCCATAATCTGTTTCCTCATTATTTTTAGTCTTTGAATTATAATCCTCTCCCGTTACGTATTCTTCGGTGAACACTTCTTCAACAGGAATAGGCTATTCATGTAAGCAGTCGAGGTTTGGAGGAATAGGATGAATAGGCGGATTATAGTTAGTAAAGCAATGTAAGCATTTGGCAGATTTTAATAGAATGGCTTGCAAAATAAAACATCTTTTAATTTGTTTCTGAAAAACCCAGAAGCCAGTTTTTCAGAGTTATTAAAAGAATGCTACAACATACATAGTTATCTGCAATGAAATTAATTCTTTTGAAGATTTATACTTTATCATGTATGCATATATTAAACGAAATCCTGTGTGGACTGGATTGATGTAGTTAGATTATTTAGCGACAAATTCTCACTAGTCCAATTTTTTTAAATTGAATTTTTCAGGTATGCCATTCCTAAGACACGACTACAGTAGTGTCTCTGTGTATGTTTATTTACCGGAATTATTTCTAAGTTTTTATGCTTGGCTTCACACATATTAATGTCAGTAACAGTGTTCAAAATATGAACCAACTTCTAATGAGATATTGATTAATGCTATGTATCTGTCATATTTTTTATGTCCTAAAATGATTTGCCATGTTTTAAAGGAGTTTGCAGATGTCATCCCACACCCTTTATTTATCTTTGAGAAATCATGGAATAAAAAGCATCATGCCAAAAAACTGGCAAATGTTCTTCTTAAGGCTTGAATAATTACACAGTAATCAGCTTGACACTGATATTAGATACTAGATTACCAGGATACTAGATAGATACTAGATCCCAACATAGTTTTGTCAAGAACCTATTCTATCCTTTTTGGATAGAATGATCAGTTTAATAAACCATGGGAATGTGATAGATCTTTATGTGTGACTTCAGCAAAAGATTTGTTAAACTTTACATATTATACCAGTAGAGAAAACGGGAAAATATGTATTTCCTACAAACTTTGACATGTTTAATATTTTTATCTATCAAATTTAGGCAACATCCATCTCACTGTCTACATGACTCTGGGTGGTTTGCAGCTAAAAATATTCTTTAAACAATTGTTCTCTATGGGTAAATATATATGTACCACTCTGGGAGAAAGAGTTGAATAGCATAGCACAGAGAGGTATAGACAATGTGAACGAGAACATGAGTGAAAACTAATAAGATTATATTTAATAATGACAAACACAAGATCCTTTTAGGATAGGAAAAATTAAAGAGCCGAGGTGGCGCAGTGGTTAGGGTGCAGTACTGCAGCCACTTCAGCTGACTGTTATCTGCAGTTCAGCGGTTCTAACCTCACCGGCTCAAGGTTGACTCAACCTCCCATCCTTCCGAGGTGGCTGAAATGAGGACCCGGATTGTTGGG